GTGGGTATATGGGTAGGGGGAGGAGGAGCTGCCGGGGTGTGGGTTGTGCTGGCCGTAGCTGTCCAGCGAGTAGTGGGGCTGTGGGTGAGCGTAGTAGGCCTGAGGGGAGGGGTAGGGTGGGTACGTGGGCTTGGGGCCGAGAAGGCCAGGGTAGGGGCTAGGGTTTGTTGACTGCCAGGGTTGCTGTCCGTGGGTGGTGTGGGGATTCGACCCGGAGCTTCGACCTCGTCCACGGTTGCGCTGACCTCCCCTTCCTCGATCGCCGCTGCTGCCTGAGTGCCCACGGCCGCCGCTGCTGCGGAAGGAACCACGGCCTCCACCTGCGGGGCTGTGTGGGCAAGCGCCGGTGTGACCAGCCGAGAAGAGGGCCGTGCCAGATGCTGCATCGGCGCTGTCTAGGAGAAGAAGAGCTGAGCGGGTTTGCAGAAACGTTGGCGGGGGAGTTTGGAATTGGAGGAAGGAGGTTTGATCCCACATGTCGTCGGGCAGCCCCCGGAGAACCTGTAACACCAGCTGTTGTTCCGAGACAGGGGCATCTACCTCGTCCAACCAATCGGCTATGTTCTTGAGGGTTTGACAATAAGCCGATATGGAGAGCGAGCCTTTCTTCGTTGTCCGAAATTGGTGCTCCAATTGCATTGCCTGGGCCGGTTTATTGTCATGAAAGAGAGAATAAATGGATCGCCAGAGTTCGGACGCCGAGTCGGTGGAGGAGAGGACTAGGTCGGAGACCTCGTCGTTGATCGTTGAGAGGATCCAACCCTGGATAAGAGCATCGAGTTGGTACCAATCAGTGTCGTCGTCGTTGGAGGGAGCCGACTTTCCGGTGAGAAAGTCACCGAGGGAGAAGCGCCGAACCAACAAGAGAAAAAGGTGGCTCCATTTTTTGTAGTTCGGCTCCGTAAAGCTTAAGAGGATCGGAACGTGAAGTTTCACGTTCGAGATGGTCGTGAAAGCCAAGTGAGGTGTTGAAGTCGGGGAAGGAGACTTGTCGGAGGAGGGCTTCTCGGACATGGTGAGGGACTGCTGGTGCGCCGCTGGACATGCTGGTGGTGTGCGTCGCTGGGGTGGCGCTGCTGGGTACGGCAGTCTCCGGTTGAGAGGGGGGAGAACGCCGAGCAGTGGGCTGCGGCGTTAGGGTTTGGGGAGTGCGGCTGAGAGAGACGGCGCACGAGAGAGAGATAGTTTCTAGGTTTTAGGCCACGGAAAGAGGCTCTGATACCATGAAGAATAATGAATTTCTGTATTGATCTCGGAGGTCAAGCCTCGAATATATACAAGATACAAGTCTCCTAATTATGGTAGGATATAAATGCAATCCTTCTATACAATGGAAACTACCAAATATATAAAAAATATATTAAATATACAATATATTTTTAACACCCCCTACATTGAACAAGCACGAAAAAAATATAAATTGACATGTTCTGGATTCCAAGGAAAAGGGCATACAGTACGGACATGCGCAAAGAGACCTCGTAAAGACACATCTACGACAAATGACTTGAACAATACTTATTGCATGTAATTGTATTCGAAAAGAGGTCGAAAAGTTTCGAATAAAAATAAATTCGATTATTTCAATTAAAAATAATTCTATTGGAGTCGAATTTATCAAATTGATTGTGTAAAATATTGGTAATTTTTTAATATTGAATACACTGACTAATATTTGAATTTTGAATGGAGTGAAGGGACTTTTACACTCTAATTAATAATAATAATAATTAATAATAATAATAATGATGATGATGATAATGATAATAATAATTCGATCATTTTGAATTTTTGACTACATTTGGAACGTATTCGACTGCATGTTATGCATATATATGTATATATATATATATGCATATATATGTGTGTGTGTGTGT